AATTTCTCGAAACTTTTCTCAATATGCGCTTGTATTTTAGTGTGCAAATGTTTATCGGTACGCTTTTTTGTGTCTCTCAGGTACTATTTGTGATTTTCTATTATTAAGTTAAAATCTTTTTCATCAAGTTTCTTTTGGAGAACTTCCTTAATGTGCCCAATTTTTGTAAGAATAATTTTTATTTGTATGTACGTCTCCTTAATTTCCAAACTCAAAATTCTCATCATAAATTCCCTTTCAATTTTTTGTGCCTCTTTTCTTGTTTTTTTCTAATCTAAATCCTTGTAAGATCTTGTTTGTTTTACCCTTAAGGTGAGTTGGTGTAATTTCATAGTCTTTGCAGTTGAGAAGAAATTTGAGTCTTTGTTGTTGTTTTGCAAGTCCCTTGGTGTTCTTGTTGTGTTATTTAATGAGGTAGCAGGTGTCCTCATTATATTTGTATCTGATGTGTTGAAAAAAGTGCCTCATTTTGTGTTAAAATCTTATGTTTTCATAAGGTTTGTCTCGGCCTAGCTCTCCGATCAATATTGCTAGTTTTTAAATAGGGCCAATGTATATAAATTGTTACGATTTGTATATTTGGAGCTTTTCGGCCGTTGATTTTAAAGCAAAAACGTTGGTTTTTCTTTTCTGCCTCCTACGCGTTTCGACACATTATTGCATCTTCCTCAGGGAGTCTTATTTATTTTTACAAGAAAACATAATTAACAAACGTGTAAACCAAAACATGTTTTTCAAAAATAAATTTTCATTCAAACCACCCATGGAGTCAAAAGAAAAATACTGCCATGAAAAAATTTATAGTCAGCGACCAGGAGTTCAGAAAAGAGAACAAGAATAAAATTAAAACCATCTTATATGAAAACGGATACCCTAGCGCGCTCATAGAAAGATTCATAGCAACAACAATACACAAAATAGAAGGCGCGAACAACAATATGAAAACTAAAAATGATAATAGAATATTTACTGGCATAACATACATACCAGGTTTAACGGACAACAAATCGCCAGGAAAATTTATACATAACGAAACAATAAGATTTGCGCATCGACCGCATCGCACACTCAACAGTTTTTACCAAAACAAAAGGCAAAATAAACAAAAAACAACACAACGTCATATATGAGATTAAATGCAATGGCCAAGCTGACGAACACTGCAGCAAGTTATACATAGGAACGACGAAGCGAGCTTTAGGAGTCAGAATCAACGAGCATAAAACAGACGCGAAAAATAGAAAGATGACAACTGCATTAGCCCAGCATCTCACAAAAAGCGAGCACACAGCGGACTTTGATAATGCAAGAATAATAGACATCGAGAGGAAAACAAAGAAGAGGATGACGTTAGAATGGCTTCGGATACACCAACAAATACACTGTGCAATGAATTACAAAGAAGATGTAGGCAACATAAATT